GATTTCAAAGCCTGACAGGATATTACAAGAAAGGAAATAACAGACCAGTCTTTCTCAAGAACAGAATATTAGTAAATCAAATTTGTGGATATACGAAAAGGGCAACCAAATGGGGTTTATTCCAGGAATGAAAGAGGTTTTAACATTTGAAAATCAGCCAATACAGTACACAACAACAAAAGTATACCACATTAAAAAGAAAGAAAACACATCATGGAGCATTTCATAAAATTTAACCTCTTCATGATTTTTTATAACTCAACAACGTAGGGAGAACAAGAGAACTTTTCGTTTTATTTATTTATTTATTTTTGAGACAGAGTCTCAAACTGTCACCCTAGGTAGACACAGCTCACAGCAAGCTCCAACTCTTGGGCTCAAGTGATCCTTTTGCCTCAGTTTTTCTATTTTAGTAGAGATAGGGTCTCGCTTTTGCTCAGGCTGGTCTCAAACTAATGAGCTCAAGCAATCCACTCTCAGAGGGTTAAGATTGCAGGCGTGAGCCACCATGCCTGGGCGAAGAGAACTTTTTTTTTTAATCTTTTTTGAGACAGAATCTCATTGTGTCACCCTTGGTAGAGTGCTATGATGACATGGCTTACAGCAACATCAAACTCTTGGGCTTAAGCTGTTCTCTTGCCTCAGCCTCCCAAGTAACTAGAACTACAGGCGCCTGCCACAATGCCCCAAAAAGAGAACTTTTTTAATTAGGATGAAGTCTAACTACAAAAAAAAATCTAAAGAAAACATCATACTTATTAGTGACATTAACAGAGACATTCATTATCACCACTTTTATTTAGCATTGTAGTGGAAAGCCTAGCCATTGCAAAAAAAAAAGGAAAATAAGAGAAAAATGTTTAAAGGAAAATAAGAGAAAAATGAAAGAAAAAAAAAAAAGAAAAAAAAGAGAAAAATGTTTAAAGGAAAATAAGAGAAAAATGTTAAAAACATATAAAGATTATAAAAGAATTTCATTTGTCATTATTTGAAGATAACATAATTGTGTACATTAAAATTCAAAACAGTTACAAGTAAACTATTAATATTTCAAATTAATCAGGAAATCACTAGCTACAGGATCAATATACAAAAAAATTTTTTATATAAGAAAATGAAAAACCATTTATAGTAGCATCAAAAGTTAACAAATACCTAGGAGAAGTGTGTAAAAGAGAAATTGAAGATCTAAATAAATAGAACTGTATTATGTTCCTAGACTGGAAACAATTTGCAAAGATGTCAGTTCCTCCCCAGTTGATCTATAAATGTCATACATTCTCAAAACAACAGGGCTTTCTTTGTCAGAAACTGACAAGCTCATAAAATTTATATGGAAATGCAAAGGACCAAGAATAGCCAAGTCAGTCATTAAGAAGAACAAAACTCGAAGAGTTCTACTACCAGACCTCAGGATCACTAACTAAATCATTGCTGTTCACCAAGCATCCATTTCTAAATATTGTTCTCCAATAAAGGAACCAGGGTTCCTTGGAAGAAGTGTTTTAACTCCAGAGCTGGAGCACAGAAAATATAAAATGAGCCTGGAACATCTTTTGGGGCTACTACTAATGCATAGAAAATAATGCTAGTAATGCTAGGAAATGCATAGAAAAGGATGCTGACAGGACACAAAGTCAACCTGAAGGACTAAAGGCCAAGCCTAAATCAGTTTGAGCAACAAGTAACAGTCATACTGAACTATAATCTATAGACTAAAACACCCATGTGTCTATATTTGGTGCAAAGAATTTTACAACTAATGAGAGGCATTTCTACCTTATGGAAGTATTCAATTAATAAATACAGAAGGACTTATGAAACTACAAAACTACCATTAGGCAAACACTATTGTAGTTGTTGCAAGCAAGATGGATGCTAAAATCAGTGGTCAAAAGCTTGAGGAAAAAATAGAATATTTACATAATTTCAATATCTTTTCCCCAAGTTATTTGTCAATTACAAAGAAGAAAAATAAAAACTTTACAATGGAGAAACCCAGTGGACACTACGTTAACTAAGTGATCATAGTTAATATGTCAAAATCTTGAAAGATAAAGACTGTCGGCAGGTCAGAGGAGGGTAAGGAAACACAAGTGCAAGGTGAGATCTTGAATTGGATCATAGAACAGGAAAAGGGTAGTGTCCTGTGGATATGTAAAATGCTAACAGTCGGAAAGCTGGTATAAAGGTACATGTGAACTCTATACTTTTTGCAGATTTTCTAAAATTATTTCAGAACAAAAGTTTTTTATTTTTGTTATTTTTTTTGAGACAGAGTCTCAAGATGTCACCCTGGGTAGAGTGCTGTGACATCACCATAGCTCACAGCAACCTTGGCTTCCCAAGTAGCTGGGACTACAGGCGCCCACCACAACACCTGGCTATTTTTGTTGTTGTTGTTGTAGCAGTTGTCATTGTTGCTTTAGCAGGCCCAGGCCGCATTTGAACCTGCCAGCCCCGGTGTATGTGGCTGGCACCCTGAATAAAAGTTTTTTTTTTTTTTTTTGAGAGAGAGACTCAATAGAGTGCAGTGGTGTCACAGCTCACAGCAACCTCTAACTTCTGGGCTTAGGCAATTCTCCTGCCTCAGCCTCCTGAGTAGATGGGACCACAGGTGCCCGCCACAACACCCAACTATTTTGTTGTTGTTTTTGTTGCAGTTTGGCCAGGGCCAGGTTCAAACCTGCTACCCTCAGTATATGGGGCTGGTGTCCTACCCACTGAGCCACGGGCACCACCCTGAACAAAAGTTTTTTAAATAGCTTGGTATTGACATAAGGTATATTAGTTTCCTAGTGTTGCTATAACAAAGTGCCATAAATAGAGCAACTTAAAACACAAAATCTCCCATGCTTGTGAAGGCTAAAAGTTCAAAATCAAAGCATTGGCATGGCAGTGCTTCCTCTGGTCTTAAGAGGATGATCCTCTCTTGCCTCTTCCTAACTTCTAGTAGTTACCAGCAATCCTTGGCATTCCTTGGCTTGTAGCTGCATCACTTCAGTCTCTGCTTGTCCTCACATGGCCACCTTCTCTGTCACTGCACATCTTCTCCTCTTCTAAGGAAACCAGTCAAATTGCTTTTAGGGTCCACTTTAATGTGACCTCAACCAATCTGAAAAAAACCATTGTCAAATAAAGTTACCTTCTGAGGTTCCAATTGGACATGAATTTTGGGGGAGTAGGGGGAACAGTACTCAACCAGTCAGTATACAAGTATAGGCAAATAGACCAATAAGACAGAGTAGCAACTCTAGAAAGACCCACATACTACATACACCAAATTTACAACAGACATACCACTGCAGTGCAGTGGGAGAAAGGAGGGTCTTTTCAATGAATGGTGGTGACACAAATGAAAATTTATATGGGGGATAAAAAGAATCTTGACCCTTACCTCACAATACATGAACACCACTTTCATAACTTAAATGTGATAAGTAAAATAACACATTGTTTTCACAACACACTAAGAAAAGTATCTTCATAATCTTGGGGTAGGCAAAGATATCTTTGAACACAAAGTGAACTACACTGGGAAAAAGTTGATTAATTAGACTTTATTTAAATTTTAAATTTTTTTTTTTTTTTGAGACAGAGTCTCACTGTGTTGCCCTGGGTAGAGTGCCTTGGCGTCTCAGCTCACAGCAACCTCAAACTCTTGGCCTTAAGCAATTCTCTTGCCTCAGCCTCCCAAGGAGCTGGGACTATAGGCACCTGCCACAATACCTGGCTATTTTGTTGTTATTGTAGTTGTCAGTGTTGTTTAGCTGGCCTGGGCCAGGTTCGAACCAGCCAGCCCTGCGTATGTGGCTGGCGCCCTAGCCACTGAGCTATAGGTGCCAAGCCTAAATTAAAAAAATTTTTTAACTGAACTTAAGCAGCAATAAAGATGTGAACAAATAGAACTCTGATGAACTACTCAAAGAGTAGCATTTGGTTTAAGCAGTATGTATCAGTAGTTCTAGGTGTATACTCAACAGTAATGACTCTACGTGTCCACTAATAGACATAGAAAAATTTGTATACTAGCCTTACTCATAACAGTCCAAAACAGGAAGTAATGTATTTATCAATAGAATAGATAAACCATATCCATTCAAGGAATACTGTATGACAGTAAAAAAGGTAATTACTTCAGTAACATAAGGCACGGTAGACTTGAAGCCAAACACAAAACACTGTATATCAAATGATCTGTTCACACAAAGCTGAAAAACAGAACAGTTAATTTACAGTGATAGAAATCAAGACAGTGGTACTTGGGGGAGAAAAAGGTATTGATTGGGAGGGGTCATTTTAGAGACTTCAGGGATATTGGAACTATGTCTTAATATAGGTGATAATTACATTGGTATATACATAAATTTGGGGCTCTACACTTAAGGTATTTATACTTCATTAGATATGTTATACTTAAATTTTTTAAATTAAAAAACATGGGCTCGACACCTGTAGCTGAGCAGCTAGGACACCAGCCACATACACTAGAGCTGTCGGGTTCAAACCCAGCCTGGCCTGCCAAACAACAATGACAATTACAACAAAAAAATAGCTGGGCACTGTGGCGGGTGCCTGTAGTCCCAGCTACTTAGGAGGCTGAGGCAAGAGAATCACTTAAGCCCAAGAGTTTGAGGTTGATGTGAGCTGTGACGCCACAGCACTCTATTGAGGGTGACATAGTAAAACTCTGTTTCAAAAAAAAAAATACATGATATATTAAATAGTATTATTGAAACAAGTACAGTATCAATAGCAAAGAATTGAGTCATCATTAAAATATTTGTTTTGAGATTTTACTTTAATGAGATTTTATGGCTCACTGAGTACTTTGTCATACATGGTAAGAGATATGTCATTTGAGCATATTCCAGGATAAAAATTCTAATGTATATCATTTAAATCTTAGAAACTAATACTACAAGTCAGCAGGTTTTTCTCTTTCTTCAATTTGTCATACTGGAAATTTTGATATTATATTGCTCATTTCTGTCTTTTAGGCTAAGACATCAAGCACACAAAGAATTTTATGCCTACAAACAGGTGAGAAATTTAACTCAAATTGACTTTTATGGTTTTTTTCCCAAAAAACTGAGAACTCAGATTCCACTCATACTTTACACTTGGACTGGATTTATTTGTGTTTATTTTGGCATTTTATCTGCCAGCTTGCAGTATAAACCTTCATTTTCTTAAGTAATCTCTTCTTTCACAAGGATTCTTTGAAACTATAAACAGTTCCGATGATATAATAATATAATTTAACAGGAAACTTGAGCCAACATTTTGCTAAAAAGAAAAACTTAATGTAGTGGAGTTCAGAGATAACATTAAGTGAATTTTTTGCCTCCTCCATTAGCAGACATAGCAGTTCCTCAGAGATGACCAACTATGTTACAGTGATCTCATCCACTGCCTTTTATACTTTCAATGTTAGCTGACATTACCCACTACAAGCCTACAAACCTGAATCATAGCTTTTAATACATTGATTTGTTCTTTAAGTTAATAAACTTAACTTTCTTGAAGGTCAAAGTAGTTTTTTCTTCCATGTTACATTTACATTTTACCACTGACATCAAACAGTGGGCTAAGATTTTTCTTGATCTTCTTTTGACCCTAAGCGTAAAATTTGTTACCTTTAGTTTTGGAGTGGGAGGCAACTTCAGCTTATTTGGTTCTTAACCTTGCAAAAACGGATGTTACAGAACCATGTCACCATTTTAATACTGCCTATCTTTCTGTCCCTTTGTGCATGTATCTTTGAAATCTGAGCTCATTGGCAAATTGCCTAGATATACACACTGAACTGATGAATTTTACTCAGTTGTATCATAATCTGGACAACATGCAGGATATTTGTATGTAGACTAAAAAGTAAAATTGGCCTTGGCAGTCACTTAATGGGTGGAATTGACTGATAGAACTATTCAAGTCACAAGACAAATAGTAAATTGTATCTTTAAAATACACTGAATAGAAAATTTAGTGGAACATCCCTGTGTAGCTGGATGATAGCTTCTAGTTGTGATTTCTGAAAATGTGCTATGCCCACAAAACCATTTTTAGTTTGGGAATGTAAAATAACCCAAATTTAGATATTTTCCTCAATTTTACTTGCCTATTTTTTTCACTTTTAAGATGAAATAAAACTCTAATAAGCTATGTTTATTCTCAGAAAATGTCTTAGTTAACTACCTTCTTATCACTTGACATTAATTTTAACTGCTGTGTAGTCACCACAGAGTCAGAGACAAGACCTAATTTTGAATTTTTAAAATCCAAACCATTAACATAACTCTGGGTAGATCAAAGTTTACTGAGGACATTGATTAAATAATAATAAGCAAAACTGGGCTGTGCCTGTGGCTCAAGGAGTAGGGTACTGGCCCCATATACTGGAGGTGACAGGTACAAACCTGGCCCCTGCCAAAAACTGCAAAAAGAAAATAAGCAAAACTTGGCACTGCTGGTGGGAATGCAAGCTAATAGATCCTTTTTGGAAAGAAGTGTGGAGACTACTCAGGGATCTAAAAGTAGACCTGCCATTCAATCCTGTAATTCCTCTACTAGGTGTATATCCAAAAGACCAAAAGCACTTTATAACAAAGATATTTGCACCAGATTGTTCATTGCAGCTTAATTCATAATAGCCAGGTCATGGAAGAAGCCAAAGTGCCCATCAACCCATGAATGGATTGATAAATCATGGTATATAGCAACCATGGAATATTATGCAGCCTTAAAAAAGATGGAGCTTTTACATCTTTCATGTTTATATGGATGGAGCTGGAACATATCCTACTTAAAAAAATATCTCAAGAATGGAGGAGAACGTATCCAATGTACTCAGTACTATTATAAAACCAATTTATACTCACTCACACTTCCATATAAAGAATAGATCACAACTATGACCCAGGATGAAGAGGGGAATGGGAGGGAAGGGGGGAGGTCAGATGGAGGGAGGGTGAATTGAGGGATCACACCTATAGTGCATATTGCAAGAGTACATGTCGGATCTATTAAGTATAAATGTCTTGGCTCAGCGCCTATGGCTCAAGTGGCTAAGGCGCCAGCCACATACACCTAAGGTGGCAGGTTCGAATCCAGCCCAGGCCTGCCAAACAACAATGACGGCTGCAACCAAAAAAATAGCCAGGCATTGTGGCAGGCACCTATGGTCCAGCTACTCAGGAGGCTGAGGCAGGAGACTCGCTTGAGCTCAGGAGTTGGAGGTTGCTATGAGCTGTGATGCCATGGCACTCTACCCAGGGGGACAGCTTGAGGCTCCTGTCTCAAAAAAAAAAAAAGTCTTAACACAATAATTAAGTAAATGAGGTGAGGGATATATTAACCAGTATGATGTAAGCATTCCAAATTGTATATGAAATCAGCACATTGTACCCCGTAAATGCATTAATGTATACATAATCTACCTCTTCATGATTTAATAAATAATAATAATAAGCAAAACTTCCAAAATTTAGATTGATTTTCTTCTTTTTTTTGAGATAGAGTCTCATTTTGTCGCTCTCAGTAGAGTGCCATGGCCTCACAGCTCAGAGCAACCTCCAACTCTTGGGCTTAAGTGACTCTCTTGCCTCAGCCTCCCAAGTAGCTAGAACTATAGGCATCTGCCACAATGCCCAGCTATTTTCTTTTTTTTTTTTTTTTTTGAGACAGAGCCTGAAGCTGTCACCCTGGATAGAGTGCCTTGGCATCATAGCTCACAGCAACCTCCAACTCCTGGGCTCAAACAATTCTCTTGCCTCTGCCTCCCTAGTAGCTGGGATCATAGGCGCCTACCACAACGCCAGGCTGTTTTTTTGTTGCAGCTGTCATTGTTGTTTGGCGGGCCCAGGCTGTATTCGAACCCTTTAGCTCAGGTGTATGTGGCTGGCACCTTAGTTGCTTGAGCCTCAGGCGCCGAGCCCCAGCTATTTTCTTGTTGCAGTTGTCGTTGTTTAGCTGGCTCGGGCTGGGTTTGAACCCACGAGCCTCAGTACATATGGCTGACACCGTAACCACTGTGCTACAGGTGCCAAGCTTAGATTGATTTTCTAATCTTTTTTATAGTACTAATCAGTCAGTCCCATCAGGCAGTGCTGTGTAAAACTGAATCATGAGGCAATCAACTTCATTTATTTTCCCTTCATATTAGTAGTTAGTCTAGAAGAGCATATATTAATGTTTTTACCCTTTACCTTCAAAGAAAGTTTTTTCCAAAGAAATTTTAAAATTGCTTTTCAGGAGAATATTGCATCATTACTCAAGGAATGTTGCTAAAATGATCTATCTCGGCTCGGCGCCTGTGGCTCAAGCGGCTAAGGCACCAGCCACATACACCTAAGGTGGCGGGTTCAAATCCCCAGCCCAGGCCCGCCAAACAACAATGATGGCTGCAACCAAAAAATGGTCAGGCGTTGTGGCGGGCGCCTGTGGTCCCAGCTACTTGGGAGGCTGAGGCAGGAGACTCGCTTGAGCCCAGAAGTTGGAGGTTGCTGTGAGCGTGATGCCATGGCACTCTACCCAGGGGGACAGCTTGAGGCTCCGTCTCAAAAAAAGAAAAAAATGATCTGTCTCAAACTGCAAAAGAAATTTTCTCCAGTATTGAATTAGGGAGGTAATAAAATATATACACACAAAAAAAATCTGTGAGTATAATGAGAAATTTTTTAAATTACAGATTTATGGCATAAGAACATATTTTTTGTCTTACAGGTTATATTAAAAGAGAAAGTAAAAGAACTCAATTTACATGAGGTAAGTTACTTATAAGTAATCTTTTCTTGAGCTGTGTTTTAGTAGCAGTAGTATGCAATGGTATGCTTAAACACCTTTATTTTCAGAAGCTGAAAAGAAGGCTCATTTTGATCAGGTTAATAGAATATTTGAGGGTGAGAGCACATAAAAGTCAATTGTGTGAAGGCTTTACTAGAGTAATATAAGTCAGTCACAGTGGCTCCCACCTGAATCCTAGCCACTTAGGAGACAGAGACGGGAGGGTCACGTAAGACTAAGAGTTCGAGACCACTCTGGGCAATATAGCAAGACTCCATCTGTAAAAAACATTTTTTTAATTAGCTAAGGTTGGACGTGGTTGCTCACACCTGTAGTCTCAGCAGTTTGGGAGGCTAACATAGGATGATCACTTAAGGCCAAGAGTTGGAGACCAGCCTAGCAACATAGCAAGATCCTGTCTCTACAAAAAATAAGAAAACTTAGCTGGGCGTGGTTAACTACTCCTGTAGTTCCAGCTACTTGGAATGCTGGAGCAGGAGAATTACTTGAGCCCAGGAGTTTGAGGTTGCAGTGAGCCTGATAAAAACACTACACTCTACCCAGGCAACAGAATAAGACCCTGTATCCAAAAAAGTAAATTAAAATAAATTCAAAATTAGTTGGGCATGGTGGCACATACCTATAGTTCCAGCCTAGGTCACAGAGCAAGACTCTATATCTTTAAAAAAGAGGGGGGGGCCGGGAGTAGTATAACTCATACTTTTTTTTTTTTTTTTTTTTGGAGACAGAGCCTCAAGCTGTCCGCCTGGGTAGAGTGCTATGGCATCACAGCTCACAGCAACGTCCAACTCCTGGGCTCAAGCGAGTCTCCTGCCTCCGCCTCCCAAGTAGCTGGGACTATAGGCGCCCGCCACAACACCCGGCCATTTATTTGGTTG